ACCATGTTTTTAGAAATGTTTTAAAAGGAATGCTTTACATTAATATCAAGCGTCTTAATAATTTAAAAGTTATCTAATTAATATATATCACTGTAATTTACAGGGCTGATTGTGCTCCGGAAAAAATCCGGATTTCCGGATTTTTCGCTAACAGTTATCCGGAAGTTTCCGGATATCGAAGGTCCAGACGTTTCAAAAAATCGTTGATCACAGAAGTTTCCGGAAATCAAATTTTCAAAGGCGGAACTTAAAAACACAGTTTATTTTATTTGTTTGTAAGGGAGGACCAGCAGTGGCGTACGCAAGGGTGGGGTTTAGAGGTTTAAACACCCCCCTTGAGCTCAGACAAAATGGCAAAAATAAAAATTTTAGTAGAAATTATGCGAGCTATTATTTTTTAAGACTATATATTTTTATCTGCCTTATGCCTACTTTTTTTCTCACGGTATTTCTCAGAATACTGAAAAAACATTTACTATAATAGGGTTATACTTTTGAAACCAAATTCACGTGATAGTGTTACGGACTGGTTCCTTTCTGTCCTACCAGTTTAGTTTTCGAGACTGGCTGTCATTCGCGAGGTCTTTACGCGATGATTCTGGAATCCTAGACGTTCTGTCGTCTTTGAGACAATTCGAGAATTTTGGAGATGCGGTGAAAAATTATATAAAAGGGGGAACGGAGTACAGTGGAGTTAGTTAGTCAGACTAAGAGTTATCTCTGCCGCTTGTCTTTCGGAGCTTGTCGCTAAATCTGTTTTGATTTATCTCAACAAAAAGTTCATTCAATCGCCGAACCCGTCGTCGCCACTATTTCGACTAGTGAAGAAATCAGTAACAATACCATTGGAGATACTGTGCTCGTTGAAGTTATTCATTCCAGCTCGAAACTTTGAGATCGTAGCATAGCGGATATTTCTGTGCCAATATATATATATATTTGCTGTTCTTGGATCTTTAGGATTTAACAATTTTTAACACAAGAATTTAGCAATTTTTAATTATTTTGAGAAAAAATCACGATCTGAAATTAGTGAGGTGACAGCATCTAGTACCAATGTAAGTTTTTCTGTTGTACAGAAATGTGATACTTCCGTTGAAGAAAACGTTTCTAGCATAACAAAATCTGATGAATGTGAAAGTGGCCCTCAAAGTGTTACTTCCCACCCATATGACATTGGACTTTTTTTAGAAGATATTACATTATGTTCTTAAACTTAAAAAATCAAATCAAAATTTAACTAAGCAATGCTGTCTAAATAAAAAGTCAAAATTGTCTAGCTGTCTAAATTAGGGAAATAATAGTGCTTTATTACAGACTCGAATTTCTTTTAGTAGTTTCAGGAAATTATGAACACCCCCCTTGGAAAAATTCTGCGTACGCCACTCGGCCAGAGAAATACCTTATAAGCTTATATTCATGATTAATATTCATTTTTCATCAGTTAATAGTTATTATAATCATAAACTCAAAAAAGACATATTTGTAAATTTTAACTACTTCTCCGGGTCATCATAGGTATGTGCAAATGGTATAGGTATGTGTAAAATTTGATATATATTTTAAGTAAACTAAGAAATACTGAGAAAAAGGGAAAAAAAAGCCTTGTTTAAATTTTTTTCTATTTTTTTTTTTTTAATTTGAACCTTTTTTTTTTTTTTTTTTNTATATTTTTTAGCCTTTTTTTTTTTTTTTTTTTTAAACTTAAGAAATTTTCCGGAATTTTGACTTGGACTCACAATCACCCCTGAATTTAAATTATTGCAAATTCATTTTGTAACAAATAAATTTTGTGTTGGTGAATAAATATAAATTTTATGGCGCATTATTTGTTCGAAAATTTAAGCCGTAAACTTTATTAGTTGAAAATTGAATACAAATTTTTAAATTTTACAAAAACCTACTTGGAGAGGCGAGTCAAAAGTTTCTTCATTCTAGATAAGTACCCTGTAACTTTTACCATGTTTTTAGAATTGCTTTAAAAGGAATGCTTTACATTAATAGCAAGTGACTTTATAATTTAGAATTTGCCAATTTTTACAAAAGTTTACCACTATTAAAAATGTGGCTATTGGTCACTAGCTAGTAACTATATTGCCTAATTTTTAATGATAAACACAATTTTTTATAATAGTGGCTCCTCTATTGCATAACAACATAGAGCAATCATCACAATAGATCAAAGTAAGGCTATATAAATCAAAGTGTTTTACAATTAAAATTATAAATTTAGACTAATGGTGTAAAAATACTTATAACAAAAAATAAACTCAATCCATCTTTTAAAACACTTTCATATGCATCTTTGGGGAATGCCTTGAAAGTTGGATTTAAGATTTAAATAATCAAAAATACAAATGTAATAAAAAATACTTTCGTGTGCAATAGTAACTTCATTAATAATAAACAAATAGTAAACTTCTTTAGAGCATTTTGGAAAAGGAAAGAAAATGTGGGGAATATGCCATGTAAATCAACAGAGCCATTACAAATTTATTAAAAAAAAAAAAAAAACTTTTTTTTCTGTTTGAATCATATTACAGTATAGCTTAAGCATGTTTACANTTTTTTTTGGAGATTATACTTGAACAGAGTAGAATTGTAAATGTATGTTGCATTTTCCTCCCATAAATATGTTCAAACTGAAGAAAAAACTTGAAACTTGATTATGTCTAAACTGAAGTTAACACACATATAGAAAGAGAATTTATGTAATTTTAAACATAAGTCAATGGTGATTTATGATTTTTATTTTATTACTTCCCTGTATTACCTTTTAATTGTTATAATAAGTACTATCAGTTAAAAGTTGTTTGGGGCAAAATGACTTTTTTACAGAGGGTAATTAGTTTTAAAGGCACATATGCATAAATTTCTGTTCTTTCTTTTTCTTTGAGTTCTAAAAAAAACTGACACTTCAAATTAATTATTCACACTTCTTTGATGTATGAAATCACATACAAAACAGTTTTATTCTGTTTCATAGGAGTTTCTCCAAAAATTAATAATTAAATATTTGCTAGTAAGTTCATATTAATTCCATTAAGTGATGATATAAGGAAAGAAAATATGTGAAATAAAACATCTTGCTATCTGCTCAATTATTGCAGGGTAGCGTCTCAGATTATTAAATTTAGTTTTGTAATACAAAATGAAATTTATGAATAACCCCTTATCATATAGAGTTTTCTTTTTAAAAAAAAAACGAGCAAATATTACTAACTAGAAAATTATTTATACTAGAAACATTTTAAATTTTCAAGATATTCAAATCAAGATTTTTCTATAAGTTACCAAATACCATTTGCAATAAAATTAATAAATTTTTTTTTTTAATGTTTAATGTCTACCACCTATGTGAAACATGTAAAGAACATTTTAAATGTTCATATCTTGCACATTTTTTTAAAAATTTTAAAATAATATTTTCATTATTATTTAAAAATTGCTTTTAAAAATCTAGTTTAATTTTGATGAATTTTTTTAAATTAAAAAAGATAAAATGAAGAAAAAAAAATTAAGGAAGTAAATTAGTTAAGTAAGTAAATAATTAATAATTTTTCTTTTTATATGTTTACCACATACCTGAAGCATGTAAAGAATACTTTAAATGCTCATATCTTGCATATATATATATATATTTTAATTTTAAAATAATATTTGTTATTAATTAAAAATTGCTTCTATAATCTAGTTTAATTTTGTTGAATTTTTTTCAATTCAAAAAGATAACATAAAGAAAAAAAATTAGTTAAGTAAAAAAACATCTATATCTCAATTAATACTTAAGATGGGTTAAGGAAATTTTATGCAGTTATTGTATATGATAACCAATTGATACAAGTTACAAGTTGATTGCTATATTTTAGCCATAAGGTGTTAAAAACAATCTTTTGCATTTGTAATTTATTACTGCCACCTTAAACTAGCAATAAATTATGTTCCAATTTATTGTTGTAAGATTTAAACTTTATTGATAAATTGAGCACTTGCATGATCTAAACTCCAAAGTTTATAAAATAATTCTCCATCTAGAGAAATTTGAAAAAAATATCTAAAACTAAGTATATTCCTTTCATTATTGCTGTTTAAGTACGTAAAAAATTTCTTATTTCCCCTATATCTAATAAGTTAATTTTTTTTCCCCTTTTGCTCCATTATTGAAAATGTTTGATGACTGGTTTCAAAATAGACTGCTAAAAGTTAAATCTTAATAAATATTCTAAAAGAAAAAAAAATTGAGTTATCAATATAAATATATAAACACANATTTTTTTCAATTAAAAAAGATATAAAGAAAAAAATTAGTTAAGTAAAAAAACATCTATATCTCTACTAATACTTAAGCTGGGTTTAGGAAATTTCATGCAGTTAATGTATATGATAACCAATTCATACAAGTTACAAGCTGATTGCTATATTTTTTGCCATAGGGTGTTAAAAAAAAATCTTTTACATTTATAATTTATTACGGGCACCTTAAACCAGCAATAAATTATGTTCCAATTTATTGTTGTAAGATTTAAACTTTATTGAGAAATTGAGCACTTGCATGATCTAAACTCCAAAGTTTATAAAATAATTCTCCATCTAGAGAAATTTGAAAAAAATATCTAAAACTAAGTATATTCCTTTCATTATTGCTGTTTAAGTACGTAAAAAATTTCTTATTTCCCCTATATCTAATAAGTTAATTTTTTTTCCCCTTTTGCTCCATTATTGAAAATGTTTGATGACTGGTTTCAAAATAGACTGCTAAAAGTTAAATCTTAATAAATATTCTAAAAGAAAAAAAAATTGAGTTATCAATATAAATATATAGACACAACGAAAAAAATTGAATACTCCTTCATCCAAAATGATTATATATCCATCTTTCTAAACTATTTTAGAAAAAGTTTTGTTGACGGTTTTGTAACAACATTTGAAACTTTGATAACATTTAAAAAAATATAGGGTGACCATAGTAAATGTATGGGTATAAAAAATATAACACTCACTAGTTTCCATAGTGGATGAAGCTGATGTTGAACCGGTGGTTGATAAAGGGGTGGACTTAGTAGTTGTTGTAGTTGAAACTGTAGAACTAACTTTCGAAAGTGTACTGGTTTCAGTGGGGGCAAGAACTGTGGGTGCATAAGTATTTGAAGAAAAGTTATTCATAACAATTTGGGGTTTAGTGGTAGGCAATACTGTAGTAGTGTATCGAAATGGCTTATCTAAAAGGAATAACAAATATTGCAAATTAATACCTTAAACACACTCTTGACTTATATCAAAATAAAAAAGAATGTCTAATCTACATTTAAGCTTAAACTAAAAGGATATTTAAAAGAAAAACTTACCTAAATACAAGCAGTTAAGGCCATTGTCTGAAAGCACCATTCCATCTGGACATGCACAGGTGTATTTGGCAGATGATTTAGAGATGTGGGGCGAAGGTAGACAAAGATGAGAGCAACCACCATTCAAAGATCCACAATAGTTTACCCCTGGAATATAAGACCACTCATAATAAATAAATAATTCCACGTGAGCAATTCATAGTTTCTACAATTCCTGTAACACCCATTTAGTTATTGCCATAATATGTTAATATTTGTGTTGTTTTTCTTTGATAAATATGTGCTCTTTCTTATAGACACTTTATGTAATTCATTTACCAAAAAGCAATATAGTATTAAATAATCATACATTTAAGAAGAAAAAAAAAGATCTATGCCAAAGTATTCACTTAAAAGTAGACCTTTCTCTCCTTACAAAAATTTATTTTCATTCTGAATGCATTTTTACTGAAACTCATAAATCATATTTTTGTTGAGCACAAATTACATTTTGCTTTTACACTTTCATAACATTAAAAAAAATATATGAATATTATTTTCAAATATCTCTAACTACAATCATCGACTTATGTTTTTTTTACCTGCAATTCAACAATATTAAAATGATAAAATTAATCAACAAAAGGTGAAACTGTAAGCTAAATGACAACATAATGTGTGATCTAAATCTTACAGAAAGGCAGGATTTGGCTGATACAAATGTTAGAATCTTTTAGAGCAAAGAAATGGATTCTACTCATAATTAAATCAGGGATGAGATTAGCCAAAACGCAAAAAAAAAGCTGAATTTCCACGATAATAAATTTTGCGCAAGCGCAACCCTTTAATAATAAATTCCAGATAGTTTAAGGTAATAAATAATGTGTTGACATACAATTGTGTACTAATCTATTATTATAAAAACAATTACATTGANAAAAGGAATAACAAATATTGCAAATTAATACCTTAAACACACTCTTGACTTATATCAAAATAAAAAAGAATGTCTAATCTACATTTAAGCTTAAACTAAAAGGATATTTAAAAGAAAAACTTACCTAAATACAAGCAGTTAAGGCCATTGTCTGAAAGCACCATTCCATCTGGACATGCACAGGTGTATTTGGCAGATGATTTAGAGATATGGGGCGAAGGTAGACAAAGATGAGAGCAACCACCATTCAAAGATCCACAATAGTTTACCCCTGGAATATAAAAAGACAACTCATAATAAATAAATAATTCAACGTGAGCAATTCATAGTTTCTACAATTCCTATAACAACCATTTAGTAATTGCCATAATATGTTAATATTTGTGTTGTTTTTCTTTGATAAATATGTGCTCTTTCTTATAGACACTTCATGTAATTCATTTACCAAAAAGCAATATAATATTAAATAATCATACATTTAAGAAGAAAAAAAAAATCTATGCCAAAGTATTCACTTACAAGTAGACCTTTCTCTCCTTACTTTCGAGTTATTTATTTATAAATTTATTTTCATTCTGAATGCATTTTTACTGAAACTCTTTAATCATATTTTTGTTGAGCACAAATTACATTTTGCTTTTACTCTTTCATAACATTAAAAAAAATATGAATATTATTTTCAAATATCTCTAACTACAATCATCGACTTATGTTTTTTTACTTGCAATTCAACAATATTAAAATGATAAAATTAATCAACAAAAGGCAACTGTAAGCTAAATGACAACATAATGTGTGATCTAAATCTTAAAGAAAGGCAGGATTTGGCTGATATAAATGTTAGAAACTTTTAGAGCAAAGAAATGGATTATACTCATAATAAAATAAAATAAAAATTGAAAAAAAAATTGCAAAATAGTTTTTTTACTCTAGATAAAGAAATGTGTCATTTCCATGCAAAGAAAAAATATAGAATAATATAAGAAGACAGGAACAAATTTATTTTACCAATCAGTTTAGAAAAATGTGAAAATATTATAAATCAAGAAAAATTCAATTTAGAAAAAGCCTCAAATGAAGAAAACATGACAGCTTTTGAAAATTTTAGCACCTGCAATTTAGATACACGAGTAAAGAAAACTATCACATATGCTCTTTTTAAAAATTAAAACCAAACAAAGAACATTACCTCTAACTATTGAAAGATACTACTCGTTAAATTGTTAAAACAAGATTTAAAATCCATTTTGTTTACCTTTAAGTTAAATTTGTTTTGCTTAATGCATATGATTCATCCCAACATAACTTTTAAATCAAATTTAGTATACTGATCAAACACAACACAATTATAAAAAGCATATTTTTCTGATGCAAGATTCAAGTAAAGTTAAGGAATACATTAATACTGGTAAACAATATAACTATGACTTGAAACTTTTTAAGCTTCATACAATAGTAATATTACCTTTTGGTTGCTTATAGCTGTGATAAACACGCAATCCCATGGGTGAAGATATACCGTTTGCAACAACTTCAACATCTTTGCCGGTAAACTTATCTACTTTGGATATACTTTCTGATTCCCAATCAGACCAGTACACCCAATCCTAGAAGCATTAAAAAAATCAAATATTTCATTAAAATACTGTTTTCTAAACACAAGATTTACATTATATTGTTTTAATACCTCCTGTTTTAAAGAATAGTAAATATATCTAGCTAAAGTTTATTTCAAGAAATATTATAGAAATAAATTATCTATATTTCTTTAACCAGAAAAAAAAATTAAATTATGAAAAAAGTCATGCTTAATTTTTCTTAACATAACATTTTTGAATAACATTTATTTCACATTTATTAACATATATTTTCACAAAATTGCAGATTGTAGGAGTAAATTTCTTTTTCTACAATTATTTATTGGAGTTTGGCTTACTAAGTCAATCTCAACCATCAGATTTTTCAAACTTGCAACTTCTTAAATTTTCATTGGTTATCACACACATGTCTATGTACTTTCTCCATCAACGAATTTTTTTAAAATTTTGCCCCACTTTGGTTTCTAACATTGACTTTGAAGAGCTCCTTTTGTTTATCTGATATGCAAACTTTTTTCCACATTGAAGGAGTTTTTCATTTAAGTTCTCTATCTTTCTTTCTTAAAATCATAGTAATTAAAATCCTTTAAAGTCATATTACTTTCTTTAAGTTAAAAAAATATTGATAAGTATGTAAATTATTGACCTTCAGCACTTATAAACTTCTAAATTTTTAATAATTAGTTAATGATGAAGTCAATTTTCTTCTTCTCAATCCTAGTGTTCACTACGTTAAAAGTCTTTAGCATCCAAAATTATATTTTCTCTATTGGTTAAGGACTTAAGACACCAAGTTATTATTTTTTTTATGTGCGATTGTAAACTCTTTTTTACATATTTTTATGTCAATGCTGTGCATATTGTATGTCTATGAAGACAACCACATGAATATTAATTCGTGTGCGATTCAATTTTTTGAGCAAATATTAAGTATAACATTTTAACACGCAAAAGAATGTTTACTCCACTTTTATCATGATGTGTTGTTTCTTTCTTCAATTCTATGATATTTTTTGAAGAATACATTACATACATTGTCAGATATTTTTATGGCATGAAATTTCGAAACATCTTTATTTTCTTTGAAAACATTACCTTTCATTTATTGAATTATGTTGATCATTTTATTTTTCCTCATAACTCATTAATTTATTATTCTATCCACCTTATTCTAAATTTTGATGTACCAAATCTGCTCACAGCCAACCTACACTTCTGTTTTGTATTACTATATTTCTTAAACATTTATGTTCCCCTCAATTTTATTAATTCCTTTAGATTCTAGATTTTGGCCGTAATTTGTTTGTTCATTTACTTTGAATTTTAATTCTCCATTCAATGACTGAAAATAATTAATATCCAAATACTATTTAAAACACTCTTTTATCAAGTTATCCTCATACTTTAGTTCGTTACCTATCTTTTAACCTCCACTCCCAAACATAATTTCATTGTTATATTCTACTGGCACCAACTTCTTCTTCTTGGACACTACAGCTTATGACAGGCCAAGGTTGTACCAATAAGTGTTTGCCATCTCGATCTATTATTTACCATCTTGATCTATTACTTGATCTGGCACCAACTAATTATTCAATTATTCTATTTTATTGATATTATATAATTTGTAGCACATGCTGATCAGTCTTATAGTGAGAATAAAATTCAAAGTTCTTATTTTATTATAGCACACTCAGTATGTATTTTAATAAAATCACAAATGCTACTAATTAATAACACATGATTACACTTTTTGCATGGTTAAGAACACAACTACAAAAAAATAATATTTTAATAAATAAGGTGACTTTTAAATTTGACTAAACTCACTTCGAATACGTCCAAAGCAAATGGATGTTTGATGGCAAAGGATGAAGATAATACCACACGTTGGTTAGAACCATCATAATCAGCACTACTCAGTGTGTGAAGCTTAGCATCAACCCAGAAGATTTTTTTAGTCACAATGTCTAAATTAAAATGATAACATATAATTATTTGAATGAATTCAACTAATAAACAAAATACACTTAAATTATTTAAATAAATTATGTTATCCAAGGTGCATAGCCAAATCTTTCAACAAAAAATAAGCACCTTTTGAGTACTTTTTAAGCACTTAAAAAATATTTTAAAGTACTATATACATTAACAAAATTCAAAATAATTTTCAAAGACTTTACATGATCATGATAAAATAACTAGTTTCTGACAAAGAACTCTTTTCTTGATTATATTAGCTACTATAAAATTATCAAAAGATTTTTTGGTTCAATATCAAAGGGTGGAAAATGAAGTCTGAAATTGAGAATATCTTGCAAAATGCAGCAGAGTTGCACA